CTCCCTAGCTTGCTGCCTCTGGGCACGCTCTGGCTTATGCTTGGCCGGTATTACTTGAATAAAGATATCTTGCAATAGGCATTCATCTTGAAAACTACAGGGGAAAGTCTTTCTATGCCAACATGCATGATCTTACAGATGTATGTACAGTTATTGGAACAGATAGAAATTTGGATCGCATAGGGGAAATTATTTTAAGTACCATCAAAGACCCCAATCTCCAAAGATTTGGGGCCTTTTAGAAGGCCTTAGGGCCCAGATACTACTAGGTGGTTTTAAAGGTCTTCCTGGTATATTTTAAACAAATCCATATTTGATAAGCATTACTTAGTATTATCATTTTAATCTTAAAAATTTTGTTTTTTCCATGCATACATTCAAGACTCCAAACCTCACCTTACTTCTACTTGCTTTCTATTGGCCTTTCATTCCCTTAAGCAAAGCATGCAGAGTTCTTAATGTCCATCAAACATTTAATAGTATAAAAGATTTAACAATGACAAATGAACACACCCTATATAATACAAATGTTCAAGCGTTCAAAATCCCTAAAAGTCTAGCAGCTTATTGTGTAAAAATTTGGCTTGCCATTGTCAACAATATACAAATCTTTATTTTTTTTAACTTATGGACTCTTTGTAAATTTCACATCATGCACCCCAATCCCACTCTTCAACCCATTCATCCATATCTGCCTTCTGCCCTTGCAACCACCCCACAAAAGAAAACAAAAAAAATAAAAAATAAACAAAAATGTTAAAAAGAAATCTCACCATGGTAGCTGTGGTGTGTCACCTCTTGTCACACAGAACATCCTTCTGCCTAAACAGCTTTACTTGCACAGCTTCACTTGCAAATGTTCATTGCAATAGGGTACTGGTCTGGTTCAAGGTTTCTGGCTTCTGCTGTGTCCTCACTGGGACTCCTCTCAGATATCCTACTGTTGCCCCGTGCCGTGGAGATCCTGCAATTTGGGGTCTGCAGGACCAGCCTCTTCACATGCTACAGCAGTTCATATATGAGGTGGATGTTAGGGTGAGCTAACTCATAGCCCTAGATCTCAGCCTCGGGGGTAGCTGAGTTGGTCAGCCCACCACTCTCCTGCCCACATGCCACCAGGGCTAGATCTCCTACTTTTCCCAGGCAAGGGGCAAGTTCTCCTACCTGTGGCAGCTGGCAAGGGCTGATACCAGCTCTCCAGTACCATTGGGGCCAGCTCTCCTGCACCCATGCCACCAGGATCAGCTCTACTAAGTTACCTAGGCAAGGTGCAGGGCCTGCTCTCCTAAGTGCAAGAGCCAGCGAGGAGCAGAACCAGCTCTCCCACTCCACCCTGGCAAGGAGTGGGGCATGCTCTCCCACATCCATACCTCCAGGGCCAGACAATATTCAAATTAAAGAGTATAGAGAGTGAGTGTAGGCCAGGCTTCAATGATTTCTAGAAATAGAAAGGGGGTGATCATCACTAGTGAGGACCCAAAAGCAGAAAATAAATAAGAGCCATAATAGCACAGAGGTGGGGGCAACCACAGATGTGGTTTCTATTAGTACAACTCAATGTGCAGTTTTGTTTTACAAAACTATAGAGCAATTCATTAATTTGTATGCCATATTGTGGAGGGGCCAGGCTAATCTTCTTTGTATAGTTGCAATGTTAGTGTATATGCTGCTGAAGTGAGCACAGCTAGTATTTTGTATAGTTGCAATGTTAGTGTATATGCTGCTGAAGTGAGCACAGCTAGTGCTCACTCAGACGTTAAAAAGGTGGAATCAGGTAGTAGATGTTAGCTACATGGATTCATAACACCTGAATTGTTTCTATTATTGTTTAACTTCTTTCACTCATTATAAATTCCATCAAATGCTTGGTACGTTTGAATAGTTTATTTCTATTCTTTGTTGAATGCAAGTCTATTTTGTAAATGTTCTGTTGGATCTGTCTATCCACTTGTGTTTTGTCAGAGTCAACTAACTGAAGATCAAAAATATTTAAAAACGGTTGTCTTTACTGAATATGACAGACTTTTCTTGTCATTCCTTGAATAATAAAATATTAAAGTTATATACATGACATTTATATTGTATTAGATATTATAAGTAATCTAAAAATGATTTAAAGTGTGCTCTAGGATATGCGTAGGTTATGTGCAAACACCACACCAGGTCATGTGAAGTACAGAGACACCCTCACAGTTATGTTTGGATGGTTCTGGAATCGGTCCTGCAGACTGACTACTGGGGACTACCACAGCTTGCCAGAATATTCATCTGCTGAAGAACATTTGGATTTTTTCCAGGTATATAAGTAATTTTGCTTCACCGTGACTAAAATATTCAACAAAAATACTGAAGAAGGCATAGCTTGGCAGCTTGGGTCATGGCAGTGGGGGCAAGTGTTAGAGGCTCTTCTCAGCATGGCAGAAAAGAAAGCAGTGAGACCTTCAAAGGCCTGTCCTTCATGGTTTACCCAGTCAGCTAGGTCATTCCTCCTAAGGTTCCACTGCCTCTCAACATAGCATCGCCAGCTGGGAGTGAACATTGGAAAACATGACCTTGTCGTGGACATTTCAGATTCAAACCAAACAAACTGATACAAATAATGCTGATGTGAACATTTATGTACAAGTCTTTGCAGGAGCACCATTTTCTTTAGATCACTATATAGAAGGCGAATGACTAGATTGCATGAGAAGTATATATGTTTTTTTAGAAATTGACAAACTATTCCAAAATCATCTAACCATTTTGTATTCTAGACAGCAATGTACAAACTTTGTATTCTACATCCTCAAGGCACTTGGTGAGGTTTCTTCAATGTCTAACTTTCCATGAATCCAATCCAGTGTATGTCTAACCTCACACATAATGTTTTTATCTCCTCATGTTCAATTTAGTATATTCCCTGGCCCTACTTTACATTTTGAACATGTAACATACCACAATAAAACTTATCAATAGATCCTGCGGCCGGTACCCTAGCCTCAGCCAGAACCTGGAAGCAACCTAGATGCCCCTCAACTGAAGAATGGATAGAGAAAATGTGGTACATTTATACAATGGAGTATAAAATAAAAAAGCAATGGAATCTTGAAATTCGAAGGCAAATGGATGGAACTAGAAGAATCCATCCTGAGTGAGGTAACCCAGTCACAAAAAGACAAACATGGTATGTACTCACTCATATGTGAATTTTAGACATAGAGCAAAGGATTACCAGCCTTTGCTTCTTCACCAAAGAAATTAGGAAACATGAAGTACTCTAGAGCATGGACCCCAGGAATGGGAAGGGGCAGGAACTCCTGAGCTAACTGGGAACATGAGGGAAGGGAAGAGGGAGCTACCATAATGAGAGCAGGAGAAGAGGAGAGGAGAGGAGGAAATTGAGGAGCAGAAATATTGAGTTTGGGGAAGAATATAGAAGATCAGGATGAGAGATACCATATTAGAGGGGAGAGCAGGATGAG